ACACACACACACACACAAACCAGGCTAGGACAGAAATATGCAGGGTTAGACTGATGGTGTAGAGGCTTGGAGAGGGGGCTGAGGGGGGTAACGAAGGGCTTGTTCAATGTCCAGCACATCAATCAGGCCCAGCGGTGCGTCTGTGTTCCCGCGCTCAAGTCTGGCCCTGGGGCTCGCTGGGCGTGGCCTGCAGAGAGAGGGGCTCTGCGCAGAACTTTGCTCACCCTCAAGTAATGATAGGGCCCACTGTACTCAGTATAAATCACTCTGACCCATAAACACCTCCTCCACACGCACATGCACATATACATATACACCTGTGCAGGCATGCAGACCTCAACCTTAAGTTATTAGTTAACAATACACATTCTCACACACAGACATGACAGAGACCCAGGCTGGGGTGTGTAGAGGGGACAGGGGTCTGCTGTTGTACCCTACAGGGCCCATCAGACAGGCTGCCTGGATGATGGAGTATCTGGCCTTTCAGCCTTTCTTCCTCTTTGCTATTTTTTCTACAACATCTATGAAACTTCCTGCCCTCATTCTAAAAAAACTTCTTTTTAAGACAGCGTTTAGAACTAGAAATAGTTTGCTATCTGGCCTCAGAACTTCTACAGAGAGAGACATGAAAAGGATTGCAAATGATGAATACACAGATCTTTGACGGATAAACACAGTGAGGAACAAATGCCGGCTAGGAAACAGAGATTAAGGGAAGAAGCCGTGAGATTGACGTTGTTTGGAGCCGCATGAAGAAACACAAACAAATCTACAAATACCTTCCTGTTTCGTGATAGAAAGCATCAGAGCATCTTGGCTCCGATGTGTTTGTGACTCTGCATTCTGAAAGGGCATTATGCTAATGCCGTGACCTCTCGATGTGGATGTGTTTGCCAGCCTGAAAGGGCTTTTCCTACTTCCCTCTTCACTTCTCTCCAGCACACAATCTCCTGGCATTTTAATTAAATGGGAAAAGCTGCCAAAAAGGAGGGAAACATCCCCGAATTTACCAGTTGCTGTTGTCCAGCAAAAGCCTTTGAATTCCCAATGTCAACTTTTATAGGAACTAAGGAACATTTATTTGATGGTATGCTTTAAGTTAAATAAATATGGTTTATAAGAACTCCAAGAAATTTCTCTCCTAATTCATGTACTCACTTATTACTTACTTGAATTATTGAAGTCAAACCCACCACAAGCAGAACAGTCACTAAGTGAAACTTCCTTATTAGGTCTAGTTTTATTGAATCCTTTTCAACAAACATGAGTCAATGTCAAATTTCAGCCCACTCAGCACTTCTCGAGGCCCATCGGGAAAGTGTGTGCTGAGCTTTGCTAAAGCAACAACGGCCGGGCAGGTGAGCTAGAGTTACCATGAGCTTGTGTTTGTTTTGGGATCAGTTCGGGCAATATTCACAAGTCCGAGCAAACCTTACATTTTTCTGGCGGAAAATATACACGCCAGGTTCTGCCGAGTGTGTTCTAGACTTGCAGCACTCAACCTTGCACTAACTTTATTTTTCTATCTACTTACCTTAACCCTACCTTTTTTATGTGATAACTGATTTCTCATCACATTTGGAAACAGGATTGACCTTTGGGCCAAAGAGTTCTTCACCCTCCTTTATCAGCACAGTGTCATGTGTTTTTGTCTTGTTGTAATGAAACACTGCTGTCAATGATAATCAAATCCTGATTGTGACTTTCTGTGTATGAACACTGTATTTCTCTATATAAAAATGTCTCTACTCATTAAAACTGGGGTGTTGTGATGTAATTTCTTCATCTGTGTGTGTTGACAAAGCTACATGAGGAAACACAAGAATACATTACATCCTACTGTGCTGACTGTGTATTCTTCTACTGCATGAAGCTTTGTCTCAACCCACATCACCTTCAGTGTCTCTAGTTTCTTTGTCATTCTGCTTCAGAAGCAGGGGTTACATGTTAACACCCCCCTTCTTCTCTTTCTCTTTCCCCAACTCTGTCCCGCCGTCTGCAGAGACCTGCGCCGTGAACAATGGCGGCTGCGACAGGACATGCAAAGACACGGCCACTGGGGTGCGCTGCAGCTGCCCCGTGGGATTCACCCTGCAGCCAGACGGCAAAACCTGCAAAGGTCAGTAAATACATGAAGGTGTGGGACTATACAGCATTTGTATGAGGCCTGCAAGGCTGCTGTAAGGGTCAGTGGTGGACGGCTGCCGTTCACTGAGCACTCTGTGTACACACCTGAGCCTGCTATGACTGGTATCTGAGTGATCCAGAGCCAAACCCAACCCTGCCATCCGCTTCACTTCCAACTACGCAGAGCTCCGGTCGCGGTCACTGCCACTGCCACTGCCGTCTGCCTGTTGTTGTTGATTTTGCCACTGAGCATTTCTCCACTTCCGACAGCCCGCCAGTGACGTCAATGACGGTGGTCCAAAGAGAAGGCCGCCACAGCATGGGCCTAAACATCCTAAACGTATTATTGTAGCGCTTTGGCTTTCTTCTAAACAAACAGCCTCACTGAATGAGGCTGACCTGTTTGTTCAAACTGAGTCAAACACTGGTCTTTACAGGCAGAGGTGCTTTATTCTCGTCAAGGGGGGACAAGGCAGCAGTGATAGGGCTGTGAGTACGTGGATATATGGCCGATTTTAAAGTATGCTTTCACAGTCTGAAAACATATTTCATTGTTCATTGAGACACCTGACTGTTTTAAGACAGACTTTGTGAACCTATCCTTTAAGCAAATCAAAGTAAAAATGCTTTAATGTGTTTATATGACACTGATCTAAGATAATATATGCTTACTCATTGGCGTGTACTGTGAGTCATGTTTCTTGGGTGAGGAGGCCACATAGACGCTCCTCCTCTCTGTAAGGATGGAGAGATGCAGTGGTGGGGGCACAACTCTACATGTGACAGACATGGTCAAGGAGGCATTGGAGTCGCCATAGCAACGAGGAATGAGGTGCGTGTCATGTGACAGTGACATGACTCTTTGCATGTCAGAATCTGGACGCCTCGTGTGATGTGAGCGCCCTCTTCTAAATTGTATAATACTGTATGTGTGTGTTTTGTGCAGTGTGTGTGTTTGTGAATTGAGTGTCAGGCAGTTTGAGAATGTGGCATGTAGGTGTGTGAAATCCTGGAGCCGGAGCTGTCTCAGGCCTGGCAGGCAGACGTCGCTTCGGCAAACTTTGAGATGTTTGAACAGTGAGGCCCTCTCTCTCTCTCTCTCTCTCCTCTCTCTCTCTCTCTCTCTCTCTTCTCTCTCTCTCTCTCTCTCTCTCTCTCTCCTCTCCCTCTCTTCTCTCTCTCTCTCTCTCTCTCTCTCTCTCTCTTCTCTCACGCACACTCACACACACACACACACTCAGCTGCAGATGCAGAATACAGTAATCGACCGGTGAATGTACTCATCTACAAGACAAATCATCAGTTCCTAATTTGAAGAACAAGAATGCAACATAATTACCACGTTAAAACGCCTGCCTGCGCTGGCGATTTTGCATTTAGATTAACATATTAATGTTTGTACACCAGAAAACAACATAATTTTACAGTATGCACCAAAAAACAACTTTTTGGTTAGGCTTTGGGAAAGATTGTGGTTTGGGTTAAAATAAGTATTTAGTTAAAGTTAAGGGACCTACATTGTCATGGTTACAATAATAAACACTTGGTTAGCAAATAATGGTGGTCATAGTTAGAAGAAACCAGTGCTGACTAATGGCTGGAAATGAACAGCAACATTTAGTTGACTCATCCATCCATCCCGACCTCCTCCATACCGCAACCCAGTATCAAGCATTGCAACAAAGCGTGTAATACACACACTGGTCCACCGTAGCAGTGTCACTTTTTCAACACATGCTCAATCTGTGGTCAGGTTAGCAATACATTTGCAACGCCCGGTTACACTTCAAAAAAAGCTTACTGAGTTTGCAGTTTGGTTAGGTTTAGGCAACAAAACTATTGGGTTAAGTTTAGGAAAAGATCATGAGTTACATTACGTACCCTTAAGTCGACCTGACTTTTGGTTTCACATGGGACTCAGACAGCAGTCTTCTGGGTGAAAGTCCTGTGATGGTTTGACCCATCCATCCACATCATCTTCATCTCTGCATGGACTTTTTAGCTTTTTGTACTGCCACTTTATAAACACGTTTGCTTTTCACATCTTGTTTAGACAAAACCTGACTCTGACATGGTATCCCCTAGTGGATTGGCGGGTCTTTTACATGCTTTGGTGTGAGACTGGGCTGTTCTACTTGGACTTTGTCACTCCATAGCAAAGTCATCTGACTTCCTTTTTTGCTGCTGTCATAATTACTACTTGGGGCACTTGCTGACAGTACCTATTGAAAATGAAAAACCAATGTTCATGAGGCCAACCATTTGGCTCTAGCAGTTCTTCCCGTCTGCTAACAGGCATGTAACACTGCAGTTGCATGCTGGGAGAGCATCTCGTCCACTGCTCTGATGTCAAGTTCGAGCCCAGCAGCTTTTGCGAATACTTCCACTCTGTCTCCCCAGGTGATTTGTGGTCCTGACAGAACCCAGCATTTACAGCGGTGGAAAGATTAAAAGTTCCCTGTCTTTTTTTTTTTTTTTCAGGCTTGAGTTGAGTGGGGAAGATGGATAGGAGCACAGTCCAGCTGTGCCCCGCCTACATAATTTGGCTGTGGATCAGCCCCCTGGGCTTCATAAATCCCAGAGCGGGATCAGTGCTAAGGGGAGCTGAGAGACACAGAGCAGGCAGTGCACATCGATCAGTATCTATCATCCGGGCACCGAGCAGGAAAACAAACTTCTCTATACACACGCACACACATTGAGTGTGCTTGATGTCAGACACCGTGCAACATTACTGCTGCTACTACTACTATAATGAGCTAGACTTAAAGACTGTAACGTGAGAGGTTAAAGCCAGAAGTGTGGGTTTACTGCTCAACTCCATCTTTTTTAAATTACTAGAGTGTGCCAGTAATCAAACATCCATAGCCGCACAATGTGATGGATCCTGGGTGGAGCTGAGGAACAAGGAACAATTTAGTTGGATCCCTACAGTCATTTTCCTTGGACTCAAGATATGGGTGGCCACTGGTGGGACTGCCTTTTAAGATAGTTTCGCTTGGACATCCTCATTCAGTCTATTCCATTAATGCATTTTGTACTATTTGTTTTTATAGTATGTAGTATAGAACAGACAGAAAATGAGGGGAGTGAGAGAAGGGGGATGAAATGTAACGAAGATGCCAGTCAGACTTGAAAAAGGTTGAAAAAAAGTTGCAGTAACAAGGTCATCGAACATAGACCACCAACATTTTCCTATCCATCAATTTTCTAAACTGCTTTTGTTGTTTAGGGTGGAGCCTATCCCAGCATGAAAAGGGAAAAAATGCAGCATCCATCCAATAAAGTGTATCGTATGGTATTGTATGCCAGTGTGTTCAAACACTGTAAGGTGAGCTTACTGAGCCAACTTACTGCCCCTGAGGTCCAGGTATCAACTATATATGACCATTTTCATCAGCTTCCACTGTGTCGGTGTATTAACTCTGGTTGTCCATTTTAGTAATTTGTTGGAGTGACTTTGTGCTTTATTCCTTTCTTATTGACAGGGCCTTAACAGCATTCAGTAAATTCTAAGTCCTCCCTGTAACCTTAGCAACAGCACGCACGGGTTGCAGTGGCTGTCCGAGAATTAGCTAATCAGTATCTCCTGCTTAAGCCCATATGTGCGTGTATATGTGTGTGTATGTGGGTTGTGTCGACTCCGGTGGCACATGTAATCACAGTCGTGTTAGCAGTGTATTGTAGTGCTCAGACTGGAGTATAATTGCCTGCATTTAGCAGTTTACCGAACATGGTAGTTAGCGGCAAGATAAGTGCCACGCTGTGAGGTGGTCTCATCTAATGTGCCACTAAATTGCTCGATCGAGACAAGACAGCTCTCTCTCCACCTTTCTCTCTCCGTCTGCATCTAGCTCGCTTTAAAGCCAAGGGGATGTGCCCTGTCGTGCCTGTCTATCATAATCATTTCAATATAAACTATGTAGGGCATGTTTAAAACCCACCAGTCCGTTAAACGCCCTTTCATCTGCGCTGACAGACGAGGCGGTTCAGCCTCTCACGATGACAGACACGCCAACCCGAGGAGGTGTTTCATCACGGGGCTCTCGTGCCGACAACTGGGTGAGAGAGAGAGACTGAGGGAGAGAGATAGATGGAGAGGGAGAGAGGGGAAGATTTTTTTTTTTGAACAGTTTCCAGATGTTTGATTAGAAGGTGCACACTGGAGGTTGGATGAGTTACTGTGCGTGTGTGTGTGGTTTCTGTGGGTTAATTAACACACATATAGGTTGCATGTTAGTCTGTATTATGTGCACATACAAGCTCATTGGAGGTTAGATGTGTGTGTGTGTGTG